ATTTGTACCTTTAAAAAAATAGAGAAAATTTCAGAAAAAAGAAAAATCAAGCCATACGCTTTGAGGAAATTGATATGGTCCTATCACCGGTGACTAGTAGTAGTACTTGTATCATTTCCATCATTATATATATATATATATATATTTGTACCTTTAAAAAAATAGAGAAAATTTCAGAAAAAAGAAAAATCAAGCCATACGCTTTGAGGAAATTGATATGGTCCTATCACCGGTGACTAGTAGTAGTACTTGTATCATGTCCATCATCTCCGCCGTGATGTTGGTGGGGTCCACTTGCCGCCGACCCGAGAATCGGCCGGTACCCATTCAGCGCCGCCAATACTCCCAAGTGGCTGTCCGTGACCGTGCCTCCGCCGACACCGCCACCGCAGTTTCCCGAGCCCAATTGTTGGCCGGGCAATAAGGCCATGGGAGGGAAATTCATTAAATGCAAACCACTACCAATAGCCCCAGCTCTATACACAGTACTAGCTGCGTTACCAGCATTAGGAAATGCCCACGATGGATCAACTAGAGAACCACCACTACTATTCATATTCCCTTGATTACTACTGTTGTTGTTGTTATTCCCACTAGCCCCAGGGTTCGTCATCATCCAAAAAGTCGCCGGAATAGGGCTATGGCTCGCCGGAATCGAACCCGCCGCGCTCGACTGCAACAAGTAATTCCCCATCTGCGGTGTCGCCGACGTGGACGTCGGAGAAAAGTCCTGCTCCAACGCCTGCCTCCGCTTCCTCACCACACCGGCATCGCCCTCCGAGCTTGTCACGTGATCAAACCCGGACTGATCACGTGCGGCCATAGCCTGCAGCTCTTGCTTCCCTTGTAACATGGAGCTCACATTACCAGAACCGAAATTCAACAGCACTGAAGACGAAGAATTATTGTTACTACTATCGTTACTATTACTACTGTTGTCCGGCGGTGAGAAAATGCTCCTCTCCCACGGCGAAGCCGTTCGCAGCTGCGCGGCGGAGAAATTAGGGTTGAAGTAGGAATTGGAGGCGCGGATGAGTTGGGAGGGGGCGGACATGGTGGAGCCAGAGCTGCGGAGGGATATGTTGAGGGAGGTGAAGTTAGCGGGGATGGTGCCGGTCCCAGTGGCGGCGATCACGGCGGGCTCCGCCTGCTGG